TTGTTTTCTTATCCATTAAGCTACCCTATGTATTTTGATTGGAGTGTTTAATCTATTTACATTTAACATGATTATTGTTAGCCAAATAGGTATCGCCATTTTGTTATTCATATTTATATTCTCTTTATTCCCCCCACTTCTCCTTAAAGAAGTCCCTTTAACATTTTTTTGTAATACTGGTTTGGTGTTGATGAACTCCTTTATTCTTTCTTTTCTGGAAATCTTTTTACCTGTCTTTCCATTTGAATTGATAGCCTTGCTGGGTAGAGCAGTCTTGATTGTACATCTTTAGTTTTCATCACTTTTAATATTTCATGCGAATCCCTTCTTCTGGCCTGCAAAATTTCTGCTGAGAAATCAACCGACAACCTTGGCTTCATTCTAGCCCCAACAGGCATCAATTACCCAGCTCCTAATGGAAGGCCTTTACCTTCCTAGGATATGTATCAGAGAAAAATATTATCTCCACAACTCAAGACATCCAATGCCCTCTTCTCTCTGCTCAATTCTAAATGATCAAACTCTTGGGGAAAGACAGGATGTAGGCAGTTCTTCTGTCTCATATACTGTGCAACCTACCCTCCTCTTGGCACCAATTATACTTTCTAAAGCTTCTGCCTGCTGTAGGCTAGGGTGTTCAGGGTGGCCATCCCTCATCTAGCTTGAAAACATTTTCTATCCATTTACATACATAAATATGAAACCATGGAAAATGTGTAATTTTGTATTGTGATTTTTAAATAGATGGGCTAGTACTGATTATATTGTTTTGCTGCACTTTTCTCATCAGTGTGCTGCAGAGGATTCCATAATATGAATTTCAATGCTTTAGTTAGTTATTTCCCTATTGGTTGGCATGTAATGAAACAAATAATTTGTAGCTGGTCTTTAGTAGCTTTAAGTGCATTTCCTGAGTCACTGGGAATCATGATATGAACTCTTATCAAAGATAGAAATGAAATATAGATATGTAATGATTGATAGTGTGCTCTTTAAAGTACAAAAACACCCTGAGAAGCTCCTTGTATCAGACTGTCCACAAAGTTTGTTGAAAATTTATAGACTGATGTCTTGCAACTGGTTTACATAGCCTTGTTTTGATTGTGTGACCAATGGGGTATAATTGTCATTTTAGTAAACTTATGCCTTTGTTTCCCTGACACTGAGATAACTGCACTTATATTGGTTGTTTGTTATTTGAAGACATGTCCTGGTCTTCCGGCAGAAGTACTTGGACATGCCTGGGTGTCTTGGATCCCTGTCATATTTGCCTGTGTTTTCTTTTTCCCATCATACTGTATCTTCTCTCATTTAAAATCTGACCACGAATATAGTTTTTGCTCAATTTTAAAATTTTAGTGTGATTTAATAAAGATAAAAATATCTACCTGATATCTACTAGGAGAGTTGCCACTTCAACCAAAATTGTTCTTTGGAAAACACATCTGCCCCACTCTTGAGGCATCAGCCAGTGATCTTTTTTAATTTTATGGTAGAATTTTCATCTGGTGGATTTTTTTACCATTTAACACTGGGACCTTACACTGTACTTGGTCTAAATCATTCAGTAGAAATTTGATTAATTAATTAATAACATCTAGGTGCATAGCACCTATCAAAATCTTTCAGGCCCACTAATAAGATATCCTGACTTTTTGCTTCTTCAGTTTTCTCCTGAGGACTACGAAAGTGCAGAATAGGGATCATGTGGCTTTTCCAGGATTTGTTGTTCAATATCCTAGGACAGTGTTTCCTCAAATGTCTAATCATTTGGCATGCCTTTAAAAGTAGATTCTCAGGATCCATCAATTCAATGTCTAGGCGTATACCCAAAAGAATTATAAGCAGAAACTCAAATAGATTCTCGCACACAAATGTTCATAGCAGCATTAATCACAATAGCCAAATATGAATACAATTCAAGTGTCCATCAACACATGAATGAATAAACAAAAGGGAATATAACATACAATGGAATTTTACTTAGCCTTTTTATTTTTATTTATATTTGAATTTTTTTATGAGTCAATTATTTGAGTCAAACTGATGATATATGCCAGGGAACAAGATTTCAAATGCTCCATTAGTCAACATTTTTAAAGGAATGAAATTCTAATACATGTGCAACATGGTTGAAAATATTATGCTAACTGAGATAAGCGGTACACAAAAGGATAATTACTGTATGAGTCCACTTATATGAGGTACATAAAATATGCAAATTCATAGAGACAAGAAGTAGAATAGAGGTTTCCAGGGGCTGGGGGAAGAAAGGAATGGGGAGTTGTTATTTAATAAGCACAGAGCTTCTGTTTGGGATGATGAAAAAGTTCTGGAAATGGATAGTGGCGATGGTTACACAATGCTGTGAATATACTTAATCCCACAAACTTGTATGCTTAAAAATGATTAAAGTGACATAAGCTATATATATATATATATATATATATATATATATATATGACTATATATATGACTATATGACTATATATATGACTATATGACTATATATNTCCCTTGAAGTATATCCAATGATAGAAACAAAGAGAAAAAGAAACAGAGCGAAAAGGGAGAGGGAGAGAGAGAGACAGAGAAGATAGAGAGAGAGGAGAAAGAAAGAAACTTGGATATGGGAGAGGAAACAAAAAACTGAAACAAAGTTATACAATTTGATCCAGTTGGAAATCCAGAATTTACTGGAAGAATTTATAGAACAAAAAATCAAAAGACACTGATTGGCTTCTGCATCTCTTAAACAGGCTCTGAATTCACTTTAACATCAGCTGAAATGCACCAATTGGCAAAGTTTCATGTCCTCAATCAATACTGGGGCTCAAATAACAGTAAAAGCTGGGGACCCCACTAAATTTTTACATGGTACCCTCTATAATCTTAGTGAGGTTCTTGAACATAAAAAGAAAGGACAAACACGTGCGCCTCACATTTACCATTGGAACTATTGTTTGCTGAAATTCTCCATTGTAATAGCACCCACTTCCTTCAAAAATCCCCTAATGGGCATGGACACTGTAACTAAATCACAATTAAAGTAAGCCTTTGGCCCTGTATGAAAAACCCTGCCCAGGTTTTCATCTCCTTTGTGTCTTGTTTTCTACACAGAACACTTCATTTTTGACACTCCTACTCACCAAATGTGTGTGTGTGGGGGGGGGGAGTAGGATTCCCACACACCAAGCAATTCTCCCACCAGCTGAGTGTCCTCCAGTTTAACTCAGTTCTGACACTGTGTCAGATCCCACAGGTTAAGGGCTCAGTCCCACGAGACTGCCCCCTCCCACACTTCAGATACCAATTGTAAGTAGTAGGTCCCTAGGATACCCACAACTTCCCTCCAACTTGGCTACAAATCAGAGGTTCCCACAACCCCCTCATCCAGTTTGAATAGCCACTCTGGGAAGAGTGTTTACAGGGAAGTGACAGAATCTCATTCATTTCTTTAGTCACGTGGACATCCCTGATGGGATGAAAGCCCAGGCAGGAAAAATGCGGCAGCTATATGGACTATGCCGTATTTTTGTAAAGTAACAAAGGGTAATCAATATTTAATAGTTTATCTATTTTTTGTTCAGTTGGTTTGTTTGGTTCATTTTGGTTGCACACTCTGTGCCAACCACAGTGTGAGTGCTAGGGAATCAGAAATAAATGAGTCTCAGTCACTTCCCCACAGTCATTCTGCCTGGAGTGACCTGGANAGCTAACTTTGCATTCTTCCAATTGCATCTCACAACATTGCTTTATTCCCTATATTATGAGCTATCAGTCAGGATTCAATTAAGAAAAGAGAAACCACACTAGTTATTTTAATGAAGGTAATTTAATATAGGTATGGTTAAATAGTTTTTGAAAGATAAAAGGCATAAAAGAAAAAATACGATAACACAGTGTCATAACTGGAAGATGTAGTAACAACACCATAGGCTAAGGGATAAGGGGAAAGGTTGGTATGTGTGTCCTCTACTGACCATTAGTGGAAGAACCTAAAGAGAAACCAGATGGAAAATCAGAGCAGCAGTTTATTAAAGATTCCCAGCCCCCACCACAGCATCACAACTTACAGTACAGAAGAGTAAGTTTGGAGCAGAAAAAAAGATGCTTAATATTAATATTCAGCACAGAGGGACAGCTGTAGAATGTGGAGGGAGAAGATATGTGAAAAAATATTACCAGGAATATGAGAAAAAAATCACTTTGGCTATTACTAAGGCAAACTCTTCCATATCTTTTTCTTTATGAACTCTGATCACTTTAAGATCTTTAGGATCTGATCATGAACAGTAAAGAAAGCACCCAAGACATACAAGTCATCTTTGAATAACAGGTCTGACAAAATTCAACGGTTCTCCATCTTGGTTGAACATTAGACCCACCTGGGGTGCTGTTAAAACTGTTCATTCTCTTTGCACTCTCCAGTCCAATTAAATCTTAATCTATGGTGAATGGGCTCAGGCATGAGGATTTTTAAATCTCATCAGATGCTTCCAATAGGAAGGCTAGATTGAGGACCAGTGACACAAATTTTCTCACACAACCAGCATTAATGCCTTTGATTGAAGTAAATTTTTGTGGAAAATACACATGGATGGTGAAAATAGTTGAGTCAAATCATGTATATCTATCTATCTATCTATCATCTATCTGTCACCTATTGATCTATCTACCTATACACACACACACACAGAAGAGAGTTGTGAATTTCTACAGGATGCCTGGGTCATAGGTGACAAATACAGAATATTCCATACTTGTAATAAGTTTCAATTGTGCAGTGATTTTGACATACATAGGATCCAAGAATATTCCCTCAACCCATCAAAGATGTCCCAAAATAAGCAATTTTCAGATATGATAGACCAAGATGAATGAAAACCATGAGGTATGAAAATTGCGTGACTAAAGAAGCATGTTTGCCTGTTCTAAATATTTGATTTTTCAGTCATCTCTAATCCATAGGCAAAAAAAAAAAGGCCTAAGTATTCAGATTAGGCTGCTCTGTTAAGGAGCCTCTTCATGGCCCTCTTGATGTCCCTGTTCCTCAAGCTGTAGATAAAGGGGTTCAGCATGGGAGTGACTGTTGTGTATATCACCGAGACTGCTGCATCCTTCCTAGGAGAGTGTGAGACAGCTGAACTGAGGTACACCCCAAGGCCTGTTCCATAAAATAAGCCAACAACTGACAGGTGAGAGCCACAGGTGGAGAAGGCTTTATACTTCCCACCTGATGATGGGACTCTCAGAATGGAGGAAACAATTTTATAGTAAGAAAAAAGGATCCCTGGGACTGGAACACCACCAAAGATGGCACCAATAAAATCAACTGACATATTATTGGTGGAAGTATCCTTACATGCAAGCTTGAGGAGTTGAGAAGGGTCACAGAAGAAATGAGGAATTTCCACATTTGTGCAAAAGGAAAGTTGTGATATCATCAAGCAGTGCAACTGAGAGTCCAAAAGGCTGATCAAAAAAGACATCAGAACCAGCAGGCTACAGAGGCGGGGGTTCATGATGACNCTGCAAATTCATTGAATTAATCATTCTATGTAGGGGTAATTGTGTTTTCTATACCAAGAATATGATATGACCTATATTTTATGATTTAAGATTTATGTCTCTAAAGAAAACTTCTGGTTTTTTTAATAGTCTTGTTTGTGGTTTTTGATATTATGTGTTAGAGATGTATGTTTTTTGCTAGTTTAATTTTTTTTATTCGTTTCAGGTGTACACAACAACATAATGATTAGACATTTACACCCCTCACAAAGTGATAACCCCACCACGTCTACTACCCTTCTGACATCATACATAGTTATTACAATACCATTGACTATATTCTCTATGCTGTATTTTATATCTTGTGAATATATATATGTAATGTAAAATTATAGTTGACATTCAATATTATTTTATATTAGTTTCATGTGTATATGGTACAGTGGTTGTTTTTTGCTATTTTAAATGACAGCCAAAGTTCTAATTTTTCTGTAGAATTTATGTATGTTGTTACATTAGACAAATATCTATTTTGACATATCAAATTGTCAATTTTCTTAAACCCTATAGGTGGTTTCACAGATGTCTGTATTCTAAATGTAGGGCTGCAGTCTTGATTCAAGTCTGACTAGAAGAAGATCCAATTTCAAGCTCACTTGCTCACTGACATGGCTTTGGCAGAATTCAGTTCCTCATGGGCAGTTGACCACAGGCATCCCTCAGTTTTGTGCCATGTGAGCTTTTCCACTGGACAGCTAACAACATGGCAGCTATTTTCCATCAGAGTGAGCTTGAAAGACAGTGGAAGAGGATTGGTAATTGAAAGCCTAAACCTATTCACACATTAATGTTGGAGTGACATCTCAATTTTTTTTTTAAGATTTTATTGGGAATTGGGGGAGGGGAACAGACAAGTTGCTGTCCTTTTGTTCTTCAGTCTAGTTGTGGAGGATGTTGCTTCCCATCATTGCACTATTCCCGGCTGAGGCAGTCGGTCACCCACCATTCGACAGCTGCTCATGGCGGTTCACAGCCTCAATATTTTTTGACATTTTATTTATTGCATATAGTCACAAGGTGCAGCTGACATGGAGATGGGCATACACAAGAGTGTGTATACAGAAGACAGGGGATATTGGGAGCATCTTAGAATCTGTCCACCAAAAAGGCCTCAACCTCCATCAGAAGTTTGGGATCTATGGGAAGCAAGATATCTCTCTGCTTCCCAGCATAGTCCCCAACCCATTACATCATCATCTTCTCAAAAACAAACAAAAACTTTACTATGGAAGAACTGGCACTGGGAGAACTTACCATTTTAGGTATTTCTGCAGACCCCACCATGCTGCTCCTGACCATGTCATGAAAAGGAGTCTCTATGGTTTCTCTTACAGAGTCCTTTCCTCTTTGCCAGGAGAAGCCACAGTTATTTCAGGACAAATTCAACAAGTGTCTCTAGAGCAGTGGTTCTGAACCTTCCTAATGCTGTGACCCCTTAATACAGTTCCTCGTGTTGTGGTGACCCCCAATCATAAAATTATTTTCGTTGCTACTCTATAACTTTAATTTTGCTACTGTTATGAATCATAATGTAAATATCTTTTTATTTTCCAATGGTCTTAGGCGACCCCTGTGAAAGGGTCGTTTGACCCCCAAAGGGGTCCCGACCCACAGGTTGAGAACCTCTGCTCTAGAGGCTTCTGTATTCTGCTCAACTAGTAAGGGTTTATCTCCCTCCAAACATATTTNCGAGTTCTTAACCATCGCGCCACTCGGCCGGCCCCAAACACATTTACTTTCTAAACCTGGAAGATTTGCATGGACTGTACATCTTTGTCAGAGGAATCAATATGCATCTGAGAACATATTCCAGCTTCAAAAGCTGACCCTTTCTTTAACTATTCCTCAAATAAGCAAAATTCATACAAAGAATTTTAAATACTATCCTCCAGGGTGCTCATGAATTATACTAAGTCCTCACTTAACGTCTTTGATAGGTCCTTGGAACTGTGAAGAAACAACAAAAAACAAAACCAATTTTACCAAAGGCTAATCTAATTGAGATAAACAAGAGTTAAGTTCCTACAGCATCTCATCAATGTTATAACAAAACAATATTGAATTAAACAATGTTATTTGAGGACCTCCTGTACCTGTAAAGAGAAAGAAATTACACCAGAATGCTTACATATGAGCCCCTAAAGATGAGGGTCAGATATGAGGTGATGCTTAGAATAGCACTGGGAAGATGGAGAGAGGGGGCATTGATCCAGCGTCTGTCTCTGTTCTGGCTCTCTCCTTTCCAGGTACAGTAAGTAGGTCCTGTAACCACAAGTAAAAGAATAGGTGACTTTATTCACTTTCCTTCTGTTGCTCTCTCTGGGAAGTGGGTCTTCAGTTGTTTGAGGAGAGAGCACAAAAGAGGCCATGTCTCCTCAATCAGGGATGATAAATATTTAGCAGTTTTACATGCAAGTAAAAAAACCTGAGAATATGGGTGTTGAGGGACTTCTAGGAAGGAAATTGGAATATAGTGCATTTATAACCCCAGAAAAAAAAACCTGGCAATTAATCCTTTGTGACATTGTTTGTACACTTGTGATTTTCCTGTTTAGTCTCTCATTACCTTCTGTTTGTGCTTCTGGATAATTAGGACAGAAAGCCAAGGATGTTTATGTAGGTATTTCCACAGACAAAGGCTGTGGAAAGCAGTTGCTGATGCATCTATGGGTAAAGATCCCAGGTGAGAGAGTAGATAGATGCAAGAGCAAGAGAAAATAGGCTAAATTGTTGGAACATGGGAAGGGTCAATGTTGGTAATGAGCGTTGCCCAGGACTGAGAGGAAGACTGATTATTCAATGAATGGAAACTTTATATTCCTTTTCTGTCTCCGTTTCTATCTTTCTCCCATCAATGTCTTATTTCATTTACCCTCTATCTATATATTAACTTCCTTGAGGGTAAGAGTTGCTAAAGGTTTTGGAGTAGTAGACACCCAGGAACTATATGGTAAGCTGCAGCAATGGAAAAAAATACTGGTTTATATGCTCATCCATTTATTAATTCTGCCACCAAATCAATATGGAGAGTCCTCTGTGTGGTAAGAACTCAGCTAGCATTGAGAACTGAGGCATTGGGGATTCACCTAAGCCGATGACAGTTGTGCCAAGTATATAATGACAGGTAGCAATTAAGAGAAGAAAGTAGGGAGAGGTTTAGGCAGAGGAAGGAGGTCCCTGCAAAATTGCAGAGACCTAAGAGAGTAGGACCCAACGGGCAAAGAGAAGCTTTTCAGAATTATCAGAATTTAGAAGTTGAGAAGTGGTGAGAAATAAGTCTGGAGGGTTTGAGTGGAGCCATGACACACCAACGAATTTGGATGTTTTCAGAAGGTGGCAGGAAGACATTCTAAAGATTTTAGGCAGAGGAGTGATATGATCAGATTTTAACGTTGAAAATATCAGGCAAATGGCTGTGTAGAGGAATCAAAGGTGAAACTGAAGATCAGGAAGGGAGCCCCTGCAATAGATTAGTAAGAAACAAAATTGCTTTCCTCTTTTCCAATGCAAATGACGCCATTAACACATACAGCACCCTCAAGGGAATTTCCAGAATCTCAGGCATCTCCCACAAACTCTCTCCCATTCAGCTCAATAAAAAAAAGTCAAATGCAAGACAGAAAGTCACACTTTAAAAGTCAGGAGATTCTTTTACAAGCTATCATACTTTAGAGCTATGTCATGACAATTGGCTTAGGTAAATACCTCTCAAATGATCAGAAGCCACCAGAGGTGATTGCAAGCTGCCCCTCTCCCAAAGGGTCAAAACAGAAATGTCCATTCATAGCTAAACAATTTGCATATGATATGGCCATTTTTATCATTTTAGAGACACTACTTGCTTTGGGGTTTTTAATTGACTTATAACATTATGTTACTTCCAAGTGTACAACATAACAATTTGATATTTGTATATATTGCAAAATGACCACTACAATAAGTCTAGTTAACATCTTTGACCATACATAATTACATTTTTTTTCTTCTGATGACAACTTCTGAAAATTAATTAAAGTTTATTGGGGTGACAATTGTTAGTAAAGTTACATAGGTTTCAGGTGTACAATACTTTAATACATCATCTATATATCACACTGTGTGTTCACCACCCAGAGTCAGTTCTCCTTCCATCACCATACATTTGATCCCTTTTACCCTCATCTACCACCCCCAAACCCTTACCCTTAGGTAACCACTAAACTATTGTCTGTGTCTATGAGTTTTTGTTTCTTCATTTGTTTCTCCTGTTCCTTTGTTGTTTTCAGTTTTATATACCATATATCAGTGAAATCATATGGTTCTCAACTTTTTCTGTCTAACTTATTTCACCTAGCATAATAATCTCAAGATCCATCCATGTTGTCACCAATGGCACTATTTCATCTTTTCTTATGGCAGAATAATATTTCATTGTGTATATATACCACATTTTCTTTATCCAATCATCTATCAAAGGATACTTTGGTGTAAGATCTACTCT